AAGACCCCCTAATAATAAAAACTACCCCTAGGTTTTATTTTTTGGGAGGGGGGACGTTTAATATTGGGGTGAAGGGAGTATATGAGTCACGAGACGATTATAGTCAATTATGAACGGGATTATGGTCACAGCAGTGGCTGCAAAACCCCTGTTACTGTTGGCTGATTATTATATGAATTATATGGGATATTATGGGCTTACACTACCCAATATATCTGTGATTGTCATAATCAGTTACGTGAGTTTCAAATCTCAGCACTCTCAGCACTCTCAGAATACAGCAGACTATGATGCATGAGTACTCCCAGAAGTGAAAACCAAAACATGCATTGAGAAAACCAGGAAATCATGCCACAACTTGCAGGAATTTATGGCCATAAAATATTGCGGAAATGGATTCTCCGATTCTCCATCCCCTAGCAGTGGGGGGACAGGAACTGAGCCACACCCAGCAGTTGTTGGCCAATCGGGTGTCGCGGGCAGAGGAGCAGGTGCTGAATAGGATGACTGGGGTGGAGCTGTTGGAATAAAGGTGGCATACCAATTTTGGATTTCGGCCTCAAAAGTAGAGGTCAGTCCAAAATTATGATGATACCAATTTGGATTCTTTGGACTGTAAGGCTTTATTGGGACGCTGGCATGATATTGTCTTCAAAAAGAGTGTGCATTGAAGATGGTTAGAATTATTTTCACCCACAAATTACAGTACTGGATGACCATCTTGACGCAGACGGCTGAGGTTCGGGCCACACCACCGTATATTTGAAGGAGTTCAAACACCTCCATCTTGAACGACTTTCTTGGTTTCTGGTGCTCATGATTGGTAGATTTATATATATATATATGGGTAACACAATCCAGCCACGGAAGATGAGATCCAGTTTTTGAATTGCAGAGGACGGCGTAGGGCATCTCACAGGTCAAAATGTTTAGCAATGTCCTAAGCGAAAATTGGATGGTTGAGTTTCAACAAAGCTGACCAGCATGTGGGTCAATATTGGTACCCCATGTTCGAGCCCCAAGGCAGCTATCTTAGGATCTGTCAATGGGAAATAATCTATCATGATCAATGGTTTCCCCCTTCACAATCCCAGCGATAATGGTACTGGATTGTAATGGTGAATACTTCTAGTATCCTTTTATGGTCGATATCATGTTCGTGAGTAATAAGAATTCATCATATCTATGGAAAGTATCACTATGATTTATATACATGTATTGTTATATGTATTGTTATATGTATTATTATATGTATTATTATATTATCATGTCCTCAATATAATAACCGTTCCCTTTGATAGTCAGGCCGGGATGTCCCAGCCCATGGCACCATCCCAGGTGGCGGAACGCGACGCCGAGATCCTGCGTTTGGATCGAGAGCTGACGTGTCTTGGCGGGGTATAGTACCTGGTATGCAACTATACGGCTTTTACATGTTTTTACACTATATAATAGCTACATATAATAGATTATAATAGTAAAACTTACAATGTTACAAATAATAATGTGTATAACTGTAGTGTAAATATATGTGTATACTATTATACTATGATAGTGAATGTTTATTTTTGGATGTGCATAGTATAATACAAATAGAATAGATTGACGTGAGACAAATGATGCTGGTTGAGTTTGGGGAGACTAATTCTGGCAGATTAGGGACCGCCATATGACTTGCTTGCAACTGTGTCACGGTCACCATGTAGCGATCGTGTCTTGACCTTGGAGTTTATTGGATTTATGTGGCCATTTTCCCAATGGCCAGTTTAAGTTTCAAGTTCTCATATTCATCCCATTCATCCCATTCACATGAGCCATTTCTCTGAGCCATTCCCAGCACTTTCCGTTTTAGAAATCTTTTGCAGAAAAAAAACACATCAACTTGACACAACTTGAGCCCCATCAAAAATCATCAAAGGCAATGCCGGGGATACCTGGCGCAGCGCGAGCGGGAAGCCTCCCAGCTCGGGAGACCCAGTGGTTACCATAGGGTGGAGCCCCAATTCCCATATAGCAAACATGGAATATTGGAATATTAACAATCATCATTGATGATAATTATATCTGAATATATCTGTAGATATATCTGATATCTATGGTTTTTTTTTCCGAAAATGGAAGATACTCCAAAATGAGCGGTGAAGTTCAGGGGGAAATTATGATGATCAGCCATCAACTGTTGGGGTACCATATGTTAAAACAAAACCATAAGTTGGTTATGACCCAGCTTATGTGCAATGTGTACGTAACTATTGAGATAGAAGTTGTAACCCCGGTCATGTTTGGATAGTTGTCCTTGTTGAATTCATCAGCCAAAATGTCAACAATAATGATGGAGAGATGAAACGGCAATGAATCACGGTTGATCCTGCTTCTGCATTTACTGCCGGAAGTCGAACAGTTTTGTTCTTTTCAAATCTTTTCAATAGGAATCAGTTCTGGTATGATTCAATATGATTCAATGTAGGAATGTTGCAGGACCCATCCAGACTACGCTGTGCAAAAATGTTTGCTGGGTTATTCTGCGTACACATCTAACAAAGGTGGTCTTGGGTGGAAATCCGGACAACCGCTACACTATTTATCATGGCGCATATTTTTCCACACTGAAAATTGGCAGATTCTGTTGATTCCACATTAGATTTCAGAGTGAATCAAACGGGATATGTATAGCCAGCTTCAGCTTGGTAAAGCATTCTGTGAAGGGCACCCAAACATATGCCATTTGATGGTGGATTGCAGACTTAACAGCTGGGGCCTACTCCAAGCCACGTAATTTTACAATATTTCTTAGTGGGTGGGTGCAACCGTCCAACCCAGACAAGCAAACTGTTGGAAACTGTTGGGATCATCCCAGTCGCCTTTTTGAGGTTCACAAAGGGCTGTGCGATTGAACAAACAGCGCATTCTCAAGGCAAAGCCTCAGCATTTTTGGTTCATCCAGTGTCGGACCGAGATTGTCCTTTGTCTACCCGAGTCTACCCGAGTCTACAGAAGCATGTCCGACGAGATTGCAGCAGCTTCCCTGTGGGGAAGGGTGAAAGCCAAATTCCAAAATCTCCCAGGATCTCCCAGGTGAACATCCCACCCAGTCAATTAAACCCAGACTACCAGACTACTGTTTTGGTGTTCAGGATTTGAGGACGTTCACCAAGGTACCAGGGTTTTGACACAGCCATATCACAAGCCTTGGTTTTCCTTGTTTCATCAGGCAACAGCCAGCTACTGTATCCTTTACCAAGGACACTTGAAACTCCAAAGCTGATTTGATCCTATGAACACCCCAGGCATGACTTCGAGAACGAATCGCGGGAACCTCCAGATTAGATTGTATTCCCACATGTGTCCATAACAATCTAATATGATATTAGATGACATCGCATGATATTGCGCAGTTTCTTGACACAACGAGTTTGTCCAATTTGGTACAGCCCAGTTTCACGATACCCGCTGCTGGTCAAGTCATGCGATGTTTTGAGTGGGATGCCTCCCGGGATTTTACGGTCTTGAAGGGCAGTTCCGCTTTATTTATGATATGTACTTCTATACCTGCAAGCTTTGATGATCTAACCAGCTATGTATCAGGTATACACCAGCTAGCTATCATATATATATATATGGTCTCGTGTTCCGTGTTCCTACCCCCCCCATGGTATGGGTCCCCAGGTACCACAACAATACCAACCATACATTCCATACATACCATACCTGCCATACATACCAAACATACCATACATTCCAAACATACCATGTATACATACCATACCAACCATACATGCCAAACATACCATACATATCAAACATACCGTACATGAGACAATTGCATACCATACTCACCATACCCACCATGCCATATATATTGTCCTACATACACTACCCCGCCCCCGCACCACACACCCCCCACCACACACCCCGCACCACACACCCCACCACACCACCGGGGGGGGGAGGGGGACAGTACTATGGCTGACCCATGACCATGGCTGGGAAAAATTGGAACGCTGGACCATATATACGTATATATATATACATACACGCTTGATCCATGTTTCCAAAATCTTCAGGTGTTTAGTGGATACCTGAGAGGAAGAGAGAGTAACAAAAACAATCATGGCTTTTGGGTGAATATGGACCCAGTACATCTATAATGATATCTAATATCTAAGATCTAATGTCTACTATCCAATATCTATATTTATAGTATCTATAAAGATATATGATATATGCACTGCTATACATAGCTGTTTCCAAGGCATGGTGGGACTCATCCAAGGCACTGGTGGTGGACAACGGCAGCGGCATGTGCAAGGCCGGCTTCGCCGGGGACGATGCGCCACGCACGGTCTTCCCCTCCATCGTGGGACGACCCAAGTGACTGGAGCTGATGGGCAGGAGAGGATAACTAAAAAGATAGGAAGAAATATCGTGTACATTTTTATATGGTATATACATATATCTGTATGTATTATATATGTATATATTATAATTATATATGTATATAATCATCATGTTATACATGTACTGCATTGGATATCTAATTTTGTATGAATATGCATGTATTGGTGCTCAACTTGGATGTATTTAACAAATGAGATAAAACAATTGGTAATTTGGTGAGCAGGAGGTTCCTTGGGAATTTTAGTAGCTAAATGGTACAATGTTGAGGTCTACAGTAACAATTGGAATGCATCCAGAAGTTTAGGGAAATCGGAATGCAGGTTGATTTGGGCCTTATGGGTACTGCCCCAGGTGCATTGGGATGGAACCCATGCTCAGTAAGGTTCTACATGCCAAATTGGGAAGGTAGACATTAGACACTAACACATCCCATAATGATGGGATTCCCACCTCCATATCAAGCTTAAGAATACCCTCCAGTTTCTTACCTGGGAATAGAGAACCTCACATTCATAATGTTTTTTCTCTTCCAACTGTGGATTTTCCAGCCAACCATGTTGGGTTACCAACGAATTTGCCAGTTTGATGCACATGGCCCCAAGGATGCGCACAGTGATCATCGGCATGGATACGAAGGACACCTACATTGGAGACGATGCTCAGGGTCGACGTGGAGTGTTGACTCTGAAGTATCCCATTGAGCATGGCATCGTCACCAACTGGGATGATGCTCGGGCAAGAAAAACATGGTCACACGTGCCAGGTCCTGCATGAGATGATGCGTAGAATGATAGATAAAGAAAAACATCTTCAATCTCATGAATAAATAACTGGTATTTGTACTCATGAGATCTCATGAGTATGTACAAAATGGCATAACCAAAGGCACATTCCGATGCCAGGACGGCACTGGGTGTGTGTATTTCTTAACTTGGCGGGTTCACAACTGACAACACAATTCAAATTTCAGATTTCAGTTCAGTTTTCTTGTGGGTTCATGTTTGGATGATTCATTGGATGATTTTGGATATCTCTGAAACCCACATGAGTTCACATCATGTTTGTAGGTCAACAAGCATTGAGAAGTTAGAGATTTCACCACCTTGGAAGCTTGAACACATGAGCTTGCAACCAGATTTCTTTCTTTGCCGTGAACTGGATAATTCATTGGTCGCTTCATGACTTTTCCCATCGATGCCAGGACATGGAAAAGATTTGGTCGCATTGCTTCTACAATGAGCTGCGGGTTTCGCCAGAGGAACACCCTGTGCTGTTGACCGAGGCACCTCTAAACCCCAAGGCCAACCGTGAACGCATGACCCAAATCATGTTTGAGACATTCAATGTGCCTGCCATGTACGTTTCCATCCAAGCGGTTCTCTCGCTATATTCCTCCGGGCGAACCACTGGTATCGTTCTGGACAGTGGTGATGGAGTTTCTCACACAGTTCCCATCTATGAAGCTGGTTGGTGAATTTCACATTTTCTTATGTTTTGTTTATTTTCATGCCTGAATGCGATGTCTTTCTCACATGGAGCCGCATATTTCTTTATAGGTACAATGCGATAGGGAAACCATTAATGTTCTTGGCCACTGCAAGTCTGTATCTACTCAGCCTTTACGTTGCGCATACCACACCCTCTACACCCACTTCCTGATCTTCCTGGACGGTCCCAATAGACCTGCATAATTTTAGGACGAACTCAACCACCAGGAAGGATATTCATTGCCTCATGCGGTTCAACGACTGGACTTGGCTGGTCGTGATCTCACTGAGTATTTGATGCTGATCATGATGGAAAGTGGATATGCCTTCACCACAAGCGCAGAGCGAGAAATTGTGCGTGATGTGAAGGACGATTTCCGATGGATTTGCAGGGTTGTTTCATGTTGTTTCTTTTCTCTCATCATTTCTGTGACATGTTGTATTTTGATGTTGAGTGCCAGCAACTCATCAAAGTGGTGGTGTAATTTGTTTCTAATTATAGATATGCTAGGTATTTTTCCAGAAAAGTGAAGGAAGTGATTCAGAACAGAACAGAAGGAGAAGCTGTGCTATGTGGCCATCGACTTCGACAGTGAGTTGAAAACTGCAATGACCAGCAGCGCCCTGGTGTTTTCCGATGTTCTCCTGGTTCATTTGATGGGTAATCCATCAGTTTTATGTGTTTTAATTAATCCATTTAGAAGGGAATCTGATGCATAATTTTATGCTAGAGTTTTTGAATTAATCATCACAATATTGGTTCATCCATTCTATAAAATCTCTGATATATATATATATATACAAATAATCCATTGTGAGAGTCCTTCACCCGAAACTGCTCGAAAGATCTTTGGATCGACATCAGTCAACACCCCACTTTTGGTAGCTGGTGTTACGATCCTTGGGTCTGGCATCAGTCAACACATCACACAGGTGATGGTGCTAAGACCTACGAACTCCCAGATGGAAACATCATCTCGTTGCACACCGAACGCTTCCGTTGTCCTGAAGTCCTCTTCCAACCCAGCTTGCTGGGAAAGGAGGCGATGGGGATCCACGACACCACATACCAGTCTATCATGAAGCCTAGTTTTGCCTTGAGAGATGTGTTTTATTATGTTTTATTGCTTATGCAAGGGAAAAAAAACCTTCTGCTGGTGAATCTATAGATATCTTGGAGATTCGTAAATTATGTGGCTTCTTATTGGTTCTCTTTATTCCAAATATTGTCAAATACATAAATACTCGTTCGACATCTTTCGACTATGGATCCGTTAAGGATCCTCAACACATTACTGTATTCCAGTCTGTTTATATTACATATGAATTGTTCAATTGACATATATGTATATATGAATTGACTTATTTGAAACAACATACAAAAACATACAATGTGTTGATTTTTCCTCGGAATTTCACAGCAAAAACAAATCTCAGGAAGTGCGACGTGGACATTCGCCGTGATCTCTTCTGCAACGTGGTGCTCTCGGGTGGCTCCACCATGCTCCCGGGCATCGGTGAGCGCATGACCAAGGAACTCAGCGCGCTGGCACCATCCACGGTGAGGATCAAGGTGGGGTTCAGGGCGGCTTATGATATTTTTTTTTAAAAAAGGTAATACAGTAATATGTCAATGTAGTATGTAGTTATGATCATATGGGTCAGCTCTGATACCCAACCTAATGTGAATCGTCCAAGTAAAAAAAGAAGTAAATCAGGTTTCATCCATCAACTTTTACATTGCTACACTGGATTACTGGAAGGTATATCCCCATGTTTGTTAGCTTTTCACTCCCCTCTTGCTGATTGACGCATGTTGAATCATGCTGATACCTGAAACAATGGCCTCCTTTCCTTATTGTTTCTGGATGATCTCCCTCAGAATATTGCTGCTTCCCCACTGATAGTCCAACATGACACTGAGCGGTATGCCTGTCGCTAAACCATCTATGAATGACTTGAAATTGGGGATTTCAAAGATTTCCCATTGGAAGGTTGGATTATCACTTGGGTAAATCCGAATTGTGGAATGCTAGGAATCCTTCATACGGTTGACCCCCTTTCATATCTTTCATTAAATGGACTCCAAATGGACTCCGTTGGGAGGTGATCACTCCACCGGAGCGGAAGTACAGCGTCTGGATCGGTGGCTCCATCCTGGGATCCCTCAGCACCTTTCAGCAGATGTGGATCTCCAAGGCGGAATACGATGAGGCGGGCCCCACCATTGTCCACCGCAAGTGCATGTGAGGCCTGACTGGCTGCCATGGCTGCCACTGGATGGGCCAATTTTTTGGCATTTTGAGACCTGGATCTGTTGCAGATCATATTTTTGTGCTGAGCATTTCAAACACCTTGAGGCTTCCATGTTGCAGAGGGGCATGTGAAATTGTGCAAAGCTCTCAAGATCATGGAGCCTCTCATGGTGGGTTCAGCATTGTACAGTTGAGCGGAAACGCCCAGAGATGGCACTTGCCTGGAAAGATTTTGGATAGGTGTGGGTTTAGAGACGTGAATCATCAAAAGCAAGTTCACAAATCTTTGTGTTCGGAGTGAGAAACTTATGAGCTTCTATAATTAATTATACAATATTATATATGATTATATAGATATAATTAGGCGTTTTGAGTCATGTGACGCCTGAGGCCTGAGGCAGTATAGGTCAGAACTTCCCCAGGGCTGCCACGTGACGCCTGAGGCTTGCCATGGAGTTGAAAGGGGCCAGCTTGGACCCCAGCGCTGTGGGAAGGGCGACATTTCATGGTCGATTACCATTGTTTAATGTAATGGCCTCAATGTTGGGCAAATCCCCCGTGTCAAAAGAAATTATGTAACCATCTACAATAATATCCATCATTGTATAAATGATAGTTTAGACAGTGGTTTGGTCTACCTTCCAGTTTATTAACATAAATATGGTAAATTTATAACCGTTTCTCGGGGAAACCATAGGTTTTTGATATCTATATTAGTTTTCCTTAAGTTAAGCTCTGGTAATCAAACACGGCAATGGAATATTCCACGTTTATAGGTGAACAGTCCGGTGGGGGTGCAACTCATTTATTTGTTGGTAAGGAAAGTCCCCATGGTCACGGTTGACACCATTCTCTACTACATCAGTCAGTATATCAAAAATACATGGAGCTTTTACCTTGAGCCTTCCTCGATGGACCTTCGCTGGTCCGACTCTACGGGCGACACATTTGCACTTCGCAATCATCAACTCCTCCTTGATCTACCTCAGTTATGTCCAATTCCTAATTACAATCTACAACATACCTTGACGTGACTGTGAAGAAAACTATCGCACCCCCAATCTTATTGATGCATGATACTTGCTGGGTTTTGTGGGAGTGAGGATTGCGACTGACATATCTATATAGTTACCATCACTTGTAAATCCAATTAACCCCAGTCAACAGAATGTAATCATAACCACAAGAACTGCTTATCAAAACTCAAAACCAAAGTCACTATTGATTGACAGACTTTCGTTATGGTGAGAAAACATTAGTCGCGATTATTGTTTTATCACAACCATAGCCACTATCAATTTATCAAAACATAGCCATTAGCCATTCATAGCCATTGTTATTGTGTCCATGGTCATCCCCAGATGTTTATTCCCTTTCCATGGGATTGTCCACGCATCCCCCAGTGTTTGGTCCTTTCTGTCAGGTTCACGCGAGGGCGCCCTGGAGCATGAGCTGGAGCAGGTCGGAGGTTTTGAGGGTGAGCTGCAGCTGAGCAGCCGGGCAAAACCAACTGGTGAAAAACAAGTTCATACTATACAATAAGAAAGTGTTATTGATTGAATTTATTTTTGTTCTTATTGTTATCAGATTACTTGTTGTTGTAAGCCAATTATTGTAAATCTAACAACAATAACAAAATAATGCAACATATAATATTAAGAGCCTTCCCAGCAATCAACCATTTAGAGGTCATGTTGCATCATCCCAAATACTGTAGGGGTTTGCCAAGTAGTAAACCCGAATCAGGGATGGTTGATTATTGGGTTTGCCTCATGAACTACTATTTTCTGATAATGTGTCCCTCCAAATCTCGCAAAAAAATATTGAGCTGTCACCCATTTTGAAGAACAAATGCACATCTTGGCTTGGTAAAAAGGAAAGCATGTTTTGTTTTTGCCAAGGTATACCCAGATAAATCCCAGATAAAACTGAGGTCCTCATCTACTCATCTTCAAGATAAGAGGTGACTTCTGTTGCGGTTTACTCCCCCAAAAACATCCAGAAAGCATCAGATTTCCGCCAGGTCTCCAAGCGAGTGAAGGTGCGATGGGCATGTTTGGCAAGGCTGCCGAATTAAGGGAACAATTAGGGAAGAATGGGGAACAAAAAGGTAACTCCTAAACCATTGAGGGATTGAAATATATTGAAATGGATGGTTTAAGATGGTTTAAGGGCTTGAACTTGACCAGCATTGACCACCAAGGATGGTTCAGAAGCGGGTCCACTTTTGACCCAGACCAATTTGGGGGTCATGTTTTTGAAGGCTGCGAAGGTTGTGAGTCCCTGGGTATACAGCCCCGTCCTGCGGTGAGGTTTGGGGCATCGGGGAAGCCTGAACGGTCTTGGAATGGAGAAGGTCTGAACTGAGCCAATCGCACTATTCATAAGCGTTTGCAGATTGAAGTTAGCTGACATTGACCGGCATTTGTTCTCCTCCATGCTAGTTTAAAGACATCACATGGCAATGCATCACATCATGCATGCATTCCATTCACTTTGGTGTCAATGACCGTACTTGGCCATATGAAAGTAAACTCAGGCCACCCCTCTACAAGTGGCAGTAGATCACATAAATTCCATTAAGTTTCTGTATCCTCCAAAAATGGTTCACTTGAAATATGCAGGGACAGTCCGGCAGCATTCATGTGATGTAATTAAAGACACAATCATGAAAGGCTGACAAATCCTCGGTGCTTAGGGGCGAAGTTGTCACTGTGTCAACTTCCCACTGGCTGGTTGATGAGAAAAGTGTTTCACACATTTATCACAACCATTGTGTGCGGGAAAACGATGGGTAGTGGCATATCAAACAGATCGCATGATACGTTCTCTCGTAAACAGATTACTGAACAAAACGGATATCATTGCTTAGACCCCACAGCGCCAGGCTACTGAAGCGTCATGGCACCAGGAGGGGTGGGATGCAGCCGCTGACGGGTTTCCAATGACAGTTCAGTCGGATGGAGGGAAGCTAGATTCGCCTGTGCTAACTTGTCCAAAACCCATGTGATTCTGGCGGAGAAGAAGTGGTTCTATCTGTTTTTTTGGCTGCTTGGTGTGCTGATAAAAGAAACAGAAATCATGTTCCATGCTTGGTTGCAAAGGTGGATCTAAGGAACAAACACATGTGGACGAGTGGACACTACCAGTCAGTCTGGGATTCCGACTTTGTCATACATGAGTCCATTGCCGCAGGGATGACTCGTATGAGCTGACCAAGTTTCAAGTACAGTAGGGATGCCATTGGATGTGGCCAAGGGGTAACAACACTAGGAACTGACACACAATCCAACGTAAATGAGGATGTAACCGATAGAATAGGTAACCAGAAGAGGGTCCAACATGGATCATTTCCCCTGGCAGAATTCCAGGCATAAGTTGCGAAGTGTCATTGTTGTGACAGACATACCCCCCTCATGACCTTCACTCTTTGCTACTTGGTGGGAACTAACTTGTCACTGACCACCAAGACTATCACTCCAGAAGGGCTCCAATTGGCAATTCTACCGTCTTTACTCGGAAATCAATTTCACTGCAGTTCGGCGTCAGTAGCAGAGGGTATTCCATAACTCCATATTTGGGAACGATAACTCCCTATTTGTCACTCTGAATTCCCTACATTATTCTACATCTAACCCAGAAAGTCCTAATGAAATGACTCATTCTCCCCTTGGTTAGCTGTGGATTATCCCTACTATTCTGATTAAGATGAGTCATTTGACTTTCAAATTAGAGCTTAAATCCCCCTTCACAGGCTCGACGACAGCTTCAAGGGATGTCTCCTGACAGGGCCTCTCGCCTGGCAAATTGTACCGTGGGGCCGTTGCCTGGCGACCTGAAGACCAAAAAATGGGAGGATAAAAAAACATGTTCATGATATATATATATATATTTATAATATTATATATATTATATATATATATTATAGATATATATATATATATTATAGATATATTGTAGTTGTGGTAGATTTAAAGCCAATATTTTTCACTGCAGGGTTATGGGGGCATCATTTTGTAAATTTACAGATCAGCACCCACATGTTCCATACTTTTTTGTTACTTTGTATTTACCCCAAAATTGTTCAAATGCGGGCCTGCATCATTAAGCATGGTTGATTTGAGATTTTCAATACAGGAAGTGTTTTTGAAATCACATAGGTAGGAGGTTGAGGAATATCATATGATATATCCAGTCTTCTCCAGTGAATGGGTGGTAACCAACGATTGTGGGGACATGCTCTCCACGAATCGAACGTGGCAAAGGAACAAACACCTCCCCAATTTCAATGGTAAGAACAGAAAAACATCAACCTAGATTTGGAAGTGTTTCTCCTGTGTAGTTTGTTCCAACCGAAGTCAGGACGAAACCTTGAGACTACACTGGTAGATCTGATGATCACCAACAGTCACCGGATTCTGAATGTGGGTTTGGGCCATTTCCTCAAATAGATTCTTCGATGGAAGATCACATATAAATTGCTTTGGAAGAATGGATGGAATATGGTCAGTACTGGAACACTAAAACAATTGATAAACACCCTACGGCCCCTTACGGCCTACGGTCCACAGACCTCCACCGAGGGCTCGCGAGCCTACCGCGGACCCAGAGGCTGGGAGAGTGGATTTAAGAAACATGGTGGTTTATCAATGAACAATGGGATGATGGCAGGGATATATCTTGACAATAACAGGAAGACCTGTTTGGCATAGGGTGTGAAATGATATGATTTCCTGAACTACTCGCAACAATGGGAAATCATCTTGAACAAATCTGGGGTAAATAGCCAATGTTGGGAACAAGCGCCTGCAAAAACATAGGGATACCATTTGGGAATGTAAGCAGCACTACAAAAGGTATGTACATGTACACAGTGAACTATACTACGCTACAATTTGAATCTCATCAGTCTGGAGAATTGAAGTCTCTATGAACCAACTATTAGAAGGAACCAGCCATTGGAAGGGATCAGTGTGGCAAGGGGATTTGCCTCTACCAAATGTGCCTGTGGTAAGCCTGGTTCGCAATTACAGTGGAATAAGGCTGACATAGTATTACTCTCTTCCAGCATTGTGCGCAGAAATGATCGACACGTTGACAGCAGACAAAGGCTAAACCTTGAAACAGGCAGGACGGCAGGGCTGTCCCAATCTTGTGGCCTTCGATTCGATCACCCTACTGTACGCATTTGCAATGGTAAACTCTCCGAAGTGATCCAAGTGAAGGTTTGGCCAATGTGTGTTAAATTGTTAAACCATTAAAAACACAACTAGTTCGTGTGGATATCTAAGGCGAAATCTAA